CCCAGTCTCCTGGTGATTGGCCCAAAGTCACGCAGCTGGCTTTCATGCTTAAGGCAGGACTAGCACTCCCAGTCTCCTGGTGATTGGCCCAAAGTCACGCAGCTGGCTTTCATGCTTAAGGCAGGACTAGCACTCCCAGTCTCCTGGTGATTGGCCCAAAGTCACCCAGCTGGCTTTCATGCTTAAGGCAGGACTAGCACTCCCAGTCTCCTGGTGATTGGCCCAAAGTCACCCAGCTGGCTTTCATGCTTAAGGCAGGACTAGCACTCCCAGTCTCCTGGTGATTGGCCCAAAGTCACGCAGCTGGCTTTCATGCTTAAGGCAGGACTAGCACTCCCAGTCTCCTGGTGATTGACCAAAGTAATCCAGCTAGCTCTCATGCTTAAGGCAGGACTAAAACTCTCTGTCTCCTGGTGATTGACCAAAGTCACCCAGCTGGCTTTCATGCCTAAGGCAGGACTAGAACTCTCTGTCTCCTGGTGATTGGCCCAAAGTCACCCAGCTGGCTTTCATGCTTAAGGCAGGACTAGAACTCCCAGTCTCCTGGGCTTCACCAGTAGAACAAACTGACTCCCTCTGTCTTCCATATATTCAGCCTTCGTTTGTCACAGTCTGTTTGTGATCCATGATTGGTTGTTTTATTGCTATCCATTCAAACAAAGAGAAGAGTCAACAGGAAGATTAAAAAGGTAAAGATGGCAGGTGTGACCACACAATCAAGGACTTGCCCCCCTTTTATCAATACAGGTAGTCTTCAACTTACAACAGTTTGTTTAATGACTATTCAAAGTCACAATGGCACTGAAAAAAATGACTATGACCATTTTTCACACTTACAACCTTTGTAGCATCCTCGTGGTCATGTGATCAAAATCCAGATGTTTGTCTGTGTCCCAAGATCATTTGATCCCCTTTTGTGACCTTCTGACAAGCGAAGTCAATGGGGCAGAGCCAGATTCACTTAACAACTTTGGCAAGAAAGGTCACAAAATGGGGCAAAACTCACTTAACACAAATGTCTCACTTAACAACAGAAATGTTGGGCTCCGTTGTGGTCGTAAGTTGAGGACTATCTGCATAGCAACATGTTTAATATTTTTAAACAAGTCCTCCCCCCCTGCAACTACAACATTGGTCAGCTGACAGTAAATTAAAATTCTCAAAAATAATCAGCAAAGAAGTTGTAACAAGGAAAGGAAATCCATAGAGATCTCCTAACCCTCCAGCCAAAGGGAACAACCGAATCTTATGGATGTAAAATAGGGGTAGATTCTTTTCTGCTTCAGGATTTGCTTACCATGTTACCACATGAAAGAGCCTGTTCAAACTGAGGGGTCATTTTGTAGTGGTCCAAGGCCATGAAGAGAGTGTTCATCACAATGCAGAGGGTGATGATGAGGTCGGTAAATGGGTCCATCACAACCACACCCACTTTCTTCTTTATTTTCTGCCACAGAGGGCAACAGTTCCAGATAAGATACTTGCGGGCTAACTTGCTCAAGAAGCGAGGCCATTTTCGATCTGATTCTTCAAGCTCTAAAGAAGGAGGAAGAGGAGGAGGGAGAAGAAGAGGAAGAGAAAGGAGAAGAAGAGGAAGAGA